ATCGGCTGGTAAATTGCCTGATGTACTCTTACTCATCACCATGTATGATCTGATTGTGTAGATTGGTCTACATGACAACAAGATAAGAAAGTAGATCTTTTGGCACTGCTCTCAGTTGTGGTGGTGTGATCTTTAATCCTGTTTCCAAAGTAACTTTGGGCGGCAGACTGGAAGCACCCGCACCTTCAATATGTACGATACTATCCCGAAAGAATGGTATCATATCATTAGCTCGGGAAAGAGTCGGTGAGTCCTCTTTACCTTACATTATCGGAGTTGCATTACATTGCCTTACATGATCTACTTCTATTTACCCGGACAGTATATAGAATTTTGTTGCCTCATCGCCAGCAGATAACATACCAAAATAGACGCCAATTTGACATCATTGTTTCAAGGTTCTTCTTGACCCCTTACGCAACTCTTCTAATCAGAATCGAAACACTGAGATTACCTAATCATCGAGTCATGTGCTTCCGAGTCACGGATCCCCTTCAAAAATCCCACGATTCCCCTTTCAAAGCCTCGGATCAATTACGCTATCGAGGTTTCAATCCGCTTTTAGTGAGATCAATAGTGGGTCGGCTTGGGTGAAGAAAAGGTTGGAAGGCAAATGGGAGCTCCGATTTTCACCGCAAGAAGGGTCCTTAGTGGTCAATCAGATGTTGGGTCCTGGTTAGATTCATAGGAAAAGGGTTCCGGGCTAAAATGGTGCGTGGGAGACTCCGGGGTGGGCGGATACTAAATAGTTAGGTCATGTCTGGTTTTTGGAGGTGGTTTTTTTGATACCTCAAACTTTATTGTATACATACCATTAAACCATTGACGATAAGACGACTAGACGATTGAACGACGAAACGAAGAAACGGATTTCAAGCGAGGAATTTTATATGCGAAAGGAGGATATACTTGTTGTATAGGTTGGACCACTCGACGAATCGTACCACGAACGACTGTATATTCAAGAAAGAGTTTACTTTGTGGAAATTACTACGAGTTTAGAGTTTCAATATAAAATAGGAATTACGAGAGTTGAGTATCACGAGATATATACATATACGAAAGAGGAATCGATGATATTGTCGCCCCTGGAGTGATATTTAATAGGAAGAGTGAGTCAATCTTTGGACAAACCGGATTCTTTACTGACTCAAATACTAGACAACACCGCTTTGTGAATCATCGATCCTCTTCAATCAAGTTATATAGACATCTTGACAAGATTGGAAACCTCATCAAACAAATCTGTGTAGCAAAAAACCACACATCATTTCTGGATCAAACTAGCCATCAAATTCATCACATCATATTACCCCATCTTTCCCACAAGAAAATTCACCATGTCTCCCCACACGTCTCCAAGGGGAACCACAAGCTCGGACCCTGATCCCTCTGAAACGGGTCTCGAATCCATGTTGAGAGATCTCATGACCTCTTCTCCATTTACTACGGCTACTTCTTCATCTGTTCCCGGTCCAGGGTTAGATTCCCCGGCTTCACAGACTGCAGATCTGGAAAGTCTTCCTAACACCGATACTGAGAATTCTTCTGGAGCATCTTCAGATTTTGAGGATGGAGATATGGATGGAGATATAGAGGAAGAAAGTGACTGGAAATTTGAAGTCACCCCCGAGATGACTCGCCGATTATCCATCGTTCCCAGTCCAGAAATCACAAGAAGATTAAGTCTCGTACCCATGTCTATGCCTTCACATCTTCTCCAAGCATCTCAATCTCTCTCTCAAGCTCTGGAAATGCAGGAACAAGACGAAGAAGCCGTCGACGAAGAAGACGAGAAAATTACTCTGCCCACCCTACCAAACGAACTCAAGCTGGAAATCTTTTCCCATCTAGACCCCATCGATGCCACATGTCTCGCTCTCACTTCCCGCCATACATATCTCATTTACCGCGCCATCCACGGCACCGCGCTTCCTCTCAACACCCGCCGCGTCGGACCAAATAACCTCGAATACGCATTCACGAAATCCACCGAGAATATGTGTACGCATTGCGGCAAAGGTCGTTGCGAACTCTGGATGCACATTCGAGAGTTTATGGAGACGGGCCCCTTGCAGAGAGAGTATTGTGGGATGAAGGGAAATTTCGGAGGAAAGGGTAGAGAGGGTGTAGATGGTTGTTGGAGGGGTAAACCAAGTAAACCGCGGCGATGCGGAAAACATCCTGAGCGCACGACGACCGTGAGGGTGGAGGATGGGGGTGAGAATTTGGAGAAAATTATTAGGGAGGCGAGGGCGGCGGTGGGGGTTTAGTCACAGTCAATCATTCGCGCTGCATCTTCGCTGCGGATGGGGTTGCGAGTTTGAGTCGGCTAGCAGGGCAAACAGCGGCATTCCGTGCAGAGTATAAAGTATTCTCCAGAATAAACGAAAGAGAAATGGGGAACTGGGAAATAGAGCGCAGAAGGAAGTCCATATTTAAGCGTTGGGAGACAGAGATAGATGAGTACATATCCTCGATCGATATCTAGATTTTACACGCGATACCCGATGTATTGACGATTATTGCATGCTTTGTTTGCTTTGGTTGTTTTGGCTGCTTTGTTTGCATAGGTAGGTAGATATGGGTAGCAAGAATTGCGCGTTGGTGGATGGGTGGGCGGCTTGCGGGGTTCTTTCTGCTCTTTTTGCTTTTGGATGAATTGGTTGATTGGTTGGTTAGTTACATATGGATGGGTATGATGAATGAATGGATGAACGGAGGAATGAACAGATGCATATTGTGTAAATAGATTGATTGCTATGCTAGATCGTAGATACCATGTATGCATGACTTTTCCTCGAGGGGGTTTGAGGGGTATGAGGTTGTTTGTTGTTTTGTGTGTTTTTTGTGTGTTTTGTGTGTTTTGTGTGTTTTGTGTGTTTTGTGTGTTTTGTGTGTTTTGTGTGTTTTGTGTGTTTTGTGTGTTTTGTGTGTTTTGTGTGTTTTGTGTGTTTTGTGTGTTTTGTGTGTTTTGTGTGCTTTGTTTGATGTGATGTGATGTGATGTGATGTGATGTGGTGAGATTTTTTTGGTGGGAGGGTTTTGGGGTTGAGGCGTAGGAGGGTGGGATAGAGATTTGTATTTTTATGTGTGATGTGATGTGATGTAAGATCTAGGAAATTCTTACTATTTGAGAGAAGGAGAGAAAGAGAGAGGAGAAAGTTAAAAGAGGAGTGTAAATGGATAGGTGGTAGTAGGTGCTAGTACCGCTGGAGTAGCTAGCTAGCTTGATTCATTGTATATCATATAATGATATAATGATATAAGGAATGAGTGAAGATGGAAATGGTGGTTGGATTGAGGGATTGAGAGAAATCAAATATTATTTATTTATTTAAATGAATATTATAATATAATATCACTACATAGTATATAATTATTATACAAATAGACAAATAGACAGATAGATAAATAGATAAATAGATAAACAGATACCTATATAAATAAAGATAAACAACTTCAATTCAATAGCCACTACAGGTGTACCAAGCGAATACGAAAGAGACTAGCTCTTTCAGTAGGTCTTGTTGAATATTTACGGCCTACTATTTTCTATACAAGCTTGGAATAGCTAGCTCGTAGATAGAATACAATATTGATATTTAGGATCTGTGGATTGTAGGTGCTATGTTATTCGTATTCTTCTTGAACTAATGGTGGGTAGGTGGGTAGGTAGGTGGGTGGTGGATTTTATAATGTGGATGACTAGTATATAATGGATGGTATGTATACTTGTTGGTTTGGTTTGGTGTTTAATGGGATTTGGATGGAGGTGGGAATGTGAATGGAGATTTGAATGGAAAAGTTGGATGGAGATTTGGAGATACAGGGAAAGGGGAGGAAGAGAAGGAAGTAAGTAGGTTAGTTGAGTTGGTTAATCAGATTAGTTGATTGCTGTGAAGTTGGTGTTAATTTTGTGCTTATATGTAGATACATGTAGCCATATATAGGCATGTATACCTAGATAGATAGATGCTGGTGAGACGTCATCACCAAATCTACCCACGTGTTTAATTTTCTTTTTGTACAGGTATGGGTTTGGTTTGAGTGATCGGATTGGTTTGGTTTGAGGTATGGGTGCGGCGCGTATGTGTAGGTGCAGGTATGTAAATATATAGATACTTGATGGTAGATAACTAGTAACTGATAGAATAGAAGCCATTAGAGACGTGGTTGCTACGTAGTTTTTGTGAAGGTTTCAGGTTGGTAGAGCGATGAGATGAGATTTTGAGATTTTGAGAAGTTGATAGATGATGTAGTGTAGTTTAGTTCTTCTTGGTGAATTTGGTTGGTGTTTGCATGGGGGCTAGGAATTCGAAGCGAACTTCAGCTTTTTAAGTTGAGAGGTATAGTATGGATACATTGCTGTTGTTCACTACTCAGAAAATTTGCACCACTAATTTGCAACAGAAATGAGATAGTTGGTTGAAGCATTTAGAAATGGTTTGATGACGGAGATAAGTTGATGAGGAACTCGGGGAAGCTGGTAGGGGTGAGTGGGGAAGAGGGATGTAGATACTAGATGTTGAAGAACAGAAAGACCAAGGGAGAGAAAGTAAGCGATATCCGAAGGAGAGGGGGAGAGGAAAAAGAATATAGTGTACGCTAGGTAGTAGAATGTATTCTCGTTGTGTCATTTTGGATGAACAAAATAAGCGAGTCTGGATTGAGAAATTTGAAGAAACACAAATCCTCCATCGATCACTGGAATGATGTCGTAAAAAGAGAAATGTGTGTTTCTCGGTTAGTGAATTTGTAGAAATACTAGTGGAGAAAGAGGCGTTATGTCTGGAGAAACCGTGATAGCACTCTGCAAAATGAGAATGACATGCATGGGAATAAAGTAGAAATTAGATTACTTCAATATTGATGCACACGAAATATACATTAACCATAATCCCAGGACGCGCGCTCAAAAATAGATTATACCGTACCAAACCATATCTCAAACTCGTAGAATCATATCTTCAAACTTAACGTTATATCCTAAAAAAAGCCTAAACAAGAACAAGATCTTGCAGCTCGGATTCGTCTTCTGGCCATCTTTGGCCTTCCATAACCCCATGAATGTACGAACAAGGACCAACAAATGAGTAGTTCTCGCCATTGGGTCGCAAGACGACTGGTACATCTAGTCCTTTCAGTAGAAAAACCTCGTCTCCTTCTCGTGCTGTGTAGGCAGACAAACCGCAGCAATTTTCAGTGATAAGGAGAGAGTGATTCTGTAGATCAATGAATCTTAATTTGAGTCTTATTATTGTTAATATGATGCTATCATAAGCGCGAGACATAGAGTATTTGAAATCGAGATCAGAACGGTAATCCAAGTCTGGACTCCAATTGTCAATCAAGGAGCTGCACAAGGAAGCGCGATTGTCAGTCAAGAAGGTGCTCAAAAAATCGCTCATCTCATTAAGAGCCTTCATATACGGTTCATCTCCACCTACTGCCTTCAGAAAAAGCTCATAAGCTTTTTTAGCCTGCGCTGAATCTAACAGCTGACAATCTGGATAAAGCATCAAATCATATAGAAGCCCGTATATCACCCTGAACACTGGGTGTTTATAATCATGATTAGAACTAGAGGCATATATTGTAGATCTCAATGCGTCCAGAGATTCCCTGATTGTAGAGTACAAAGATGAATCGTTGACGGAACAACACCAAGCTCTAAAGACCGTCCAAATCTCGGGGTATTGAATGTCAGATAAATGACCAGGAATATCGCAAACAAGCACACGCAAGATAAGACCCAGACTCAGACCTCGTAGGTGGAGTTCTCCGATTATTTTTCCATAAGACTCATCTAGCAAAGAGCCATTTGAAGCACGATTGTGCTTACAAGATTTCCCCCGAAAATTGCCAGCCTCAGTTTTATGAATGGCCAGTCTATAGTCAAGCGCCGACTGTCGGTTTCCCCAATTCGGTACCCAAGACGGCAGACGTGCATCTCTACCTGGCAGACGGGCAGCTAGAAGAATGATGCTAAGATTTTTCTTTGAGTTAAACCAGCATCTAGTCAGTTCCTCGCATAGCATCTCGAAAGGTTGATCGTAATTGATTTGGGGGAGATCCAGAATCCAAAATTGAAGTAATGGGTATATGGAAAATATTTTGTCATGAGGGATTGTTGCATCATGCTCTAATATCGATGATAAGAGACTCATTTCCGTATTGAATGATCCCGGCGAAGAATGTTGTAGTTCGGTCGATTGGACAGTAGTTGAATCGGATGACTTCTTTTGTGACAATCGGAAACATCTCATTCGTAATTCTTCCCGAACATTAACAGCCGGGAAATAACCACTGTTTATGCCAGGTCTTCCAAGTATAGGTAGAGATTCAATAGCATCTGCACCAAGAAACAAACTTTGCCGCCGAATAGAGGATGATCCCCATTTGACAATGCATTTCCTGGAAAAGACCACTTCTTGAATAGTCCAACAGCGAAAAAACCATGGATTATTCTGCAATTCGATAAAACTCCGACTGAGTTTCGTTTTTTCTATTCAACGATTATTTAAAATTCTTCAAGTACATGAGATTGGAATGACTATCACCTCGTAGTTGATCGCTGAGTCTCCATAGAATAGACTCCATCACTTTATCCACTAAAAAAACTGGTATTATCCCAGGAAACAGTTCCACCAACATTGCAGCTGCCTTTAGTATCATCAAAGTTCCCCTCGTCGAGACCGAGCATCGCCCAAGCCAAACTATGACACAACTAGCTATGCGATAAACTTCACCCATGAGTTGTATTTGTGAAACACGCTCTTCTTCCGATGGTTTACTTTTCTCCTGGTCGATGCAAATAGAATCAACCCACAGAGCTCGACTCCGAAACCGACGACGTAGGCGGACAAGGGCACTGTGACAATTTTCTGTCACAAGAAGAGCCCTACCATCGCATTCGATGGGTATGGAACCATTTTTCGAGCCCCAAACGTACGAGAGAGCTTCATAAGGTCACGGAATTTCATGGTCGTGAGATTCATAGTCATCGATATTGAGTTCTGAAAGACGACATTGAATTGGCGCATTTTGCTTTGATGAAGGGAGAAGTTTAAAAATAGGAATAGATCGAGGAGACTCAAGCCGTTTGTGCTTATGAGGTTCCGGATTGGGCATCTTGTGAGGAGTTGTCAATCTTCAATATCGGATTGATGTCTATTGAAGATGCTGTGAGAAAAGTCCCGAGCTTGGGTGTAGTCAATATGTGTATCTGGATGGCGAAGTTTTCGGAAAGTTAGGCAAGGATTTAAAGAAATCTTGTGCTTCATAATCGTTTGTTGAGCCTTGATAGGGGCCATGCGCGGATACATACATATGCTGTACTATCAAACAAATACAATATGTAACCGCACAGCGAGCTCCTGTTGGATACGCAGCCTTACACTTACACATGATAAAAGGGGAGACGGGTTGCAACACCTCCAGGTGACCCGAGATACATGATATTGACTGACCAATAAAATCTAATTTTTGAATGAACATCGATTCTTTTGTAGGAAGAGAAAGATGCCGTGTAATCTGCGGGCGAATATAGGTGAAATGTGATGACTTGCATATGAAACAGCTTGATTTACTACCTGTCGATGCGTGAATTGAAGGCATACTTTCCGTCACTAAGGAATAATGGGAGAGAGTATGGACAGAGGTATGAGACGGCAAAAATAGGATCCACCAGGTGATCCAGTTTGGAAATACCATTGTCCGCGACTCTTTCGGGACGCCCAGATACACTGTGAAAATCTAAACCTTATTCATTAGAAAGTTGTACTGTACAACGACTTCATGGTATTATCTGAAAATCAATAAGATTGTCACCAATGATAATTGTTACGAGATATGAAGACGAAGGCTGTACGTCAATTGTTTGTGAATCTTGAATCGTCGTGTCGTGTAAATCAAAGAGCACAACAATTGCTTTCGAATCACCAAGGGTCCGATGCTGATATCATCAAGATCATGGGGATTTGTATAACCTACCTAGTATCTTAGGAATTCTTGGAATGCTTTATTGGAGATTCCATTGAATAATCAAAAGATAAATTCTAATATCAAATAACCAAATAATGAATTCAAAGCAATTATACGATCGTACGATCATATACAGTACTAGTCAACTGCTATTAGCCGAAACTCATTTTTACATCAAAAATCGATATTTTGCTATATTTTTGAAATTAAAAATCTATATAATCTATAAATCGAACTGTTTCCAAAAAAAATTTTGTAAAGTTTTTATAATAATAATTGATATTTTTGATATTTTAATATTCTCAGAAATTTATATTAGAGAAATTTATAGGATTGAATTAAATTATTAAAAAAGTTGTTTGATTTTCGCTTATTTTACTAGTAAATTCAATTATTTTGAAAATATTCCAACTTTCAATCTATATAATATAATTAAAAAAAATAAAAAAATATCATATTATATTAATAATAATAAGAAATTTTACGATTATAAATGGTGAGTTTTGGTTTAAAAACATGTTTTGACTGATAGTAGTTGGCACTTACTGTAATCTACGATATACTAGAAAATTGAATCTTTATTACAATTTGTCTCAAGAAGACGCTACATTATATGACTTGAATATTATAATCCTTTTAGAATTCTTCTTTTAAGGCCTCTAAATACAAACGACGATTAAGAACTATCTTAATTGATGAAAAATCATTCTCATTATATGTTTCTAGTAAAGCTATCTTATCCTCGTAGATATTATTCTCCAAGCTGATATCGATTATTAGCAAGAAAAAAGAATATCTTAGGGTCTTAATTCGAGTATATATACCTCGAGAAGCTGAGCCTAAAGCACTAGCATCTTTTGTTCGCTGGCTATCGCCATATAATATTCGATTTGGTATGATAGGCTCCTCGAGGGTGAAGCTATGTATCTGAGCGCTCGTCGTCTTAAATCAAGATGTAAAAATTACACGAGTTTTGAATTGCATAATTCAACTAATGATTCATCCGAGTAGACATGAAAGTAAGAACCAACCAGATACAGAAACTCGCAGTAATTGATTCAAATAATAAGCTAATCTTCCCAATATCCAAATCCCAACCTTTACACGTTACCAAAGAAACCCTTTCCAAATCCAGTCTTCCACTATTCCAAACCCCTAGCATAATATCCTACTCCAGCTCCCGAGTCCCAGTACCAGTGACTTTGACATCCAACTCTTGAACCCCTCTCATAAACTGTCTCCTCCACCAAGACTATCTCCTACCACTCACAACCGTCCCATTAAAACCCCCCGTCGCATTCCTAAACCCCCCATTCACAAGCCCCGTCGCATTTTTAAACAACCCATTACTCGCCGTAACATACTCACAAGCCCCACCGGGACAATACCCCCTACTACAAGCGAAATTGCACAGACCATCATACAACTCATCATCCAAGCCCGGGCCCGCAGTCCCAGCTCCGTCAATAACAGGCAGCGGCGGATTAAGCACTCCTTGAGCTGTGCATGTGCAGCTGTGGATTGGACAGTATCCGTAAGGACATGCGTATCCGCATAAGCCGCCTAAATTGTCGACGCCGGTTCCGCCAACGCAGGCGGGAGGGAGGAAGGGGGAGACGGTTTCGGGAACTACGCCGTAGTTTGTGGTGCCGCAAGCGCCGGGTCTGGAGGGTTTGTTAGTGTGATTTATGGACGGCTGGGTTGTCTAAAGAGATGATAGAAGAGCGCTACACTTACGGACAATATCCAAAGAAGCAATTGAAAGAGCAAAGACCTTGATACTCCGAAGTTAATCCTTGCGCAGGATATCCAATCGTACCATATCCCGGTGTATTTGCCGCAGTTGGACGAGTCGGTTGAGGTCCATAATTTGTGCATGTGCATGCAGTATACTATCATCTCAATCAGTACCATTCCAAGCCTTTCTCGCCAAAGCTATAAGAGATTCCTCTGATACATACCGGACAATAACCCAATCCGCAAGCAAAAGAACAAAGGCCTGCAAAATTATTCACTCCAAATCCTGCAATACAGACTTGTTCTGACATGTTAAGTGCAGGAGTAGCGGCTACAGCACTACCGGTTTGGAAGCCCGTGTATGCGTTATAGTTTGTGTAGCCATCCCAGGTGGAACAGTCGCTAGCGATCGGATTTCCTTGAAAGATTATTGAACCGCTAGCTGGGGTATGCACTGTGACAATTACATTTCCGGTGTGAGAACCGTAGGCTACGCTTCCGTGGTATATTCCGACGGCGTCGGAGGGGGTGTCTGTCCAAGTGGCGCCTATTGAGAGAATGGGTCCGAATTAGCCTTTTGTCCTTGATGATGCGGGATGTGTCATTCTTCAAAGGCCATCAAAACTTACCTAAATCAACACCACCAACTGTAACAGTTACAGTTCCAGCCTCAGCAAGCACCGCAGAGTAGAATATCTTATCTTGGACACCATCTGTTGGGTAAAATTCAATCTGAAGCTGATTGGCAGTATTCCCTGTCGTGTCGCCATCACTACATGCGCTGTTGTCTTTTGAAGTAAGTCGATACCAAGCTGTGATGACTTCTTGCTTAACGGTAGCAATACCATTTTTGTATGTATCAATCACAAAGGGCAGAGTTTGTCTCCATGCGTCATGAGTCATACTATTGGCGTAATTGTAAGGACCATCGCCATGTATGGAGTCGAAGACTGAAGCATATTCTTCTTCGTGAAGAGGTCCTGAGATTGTAAATTAGGGGATTGGAACTTTGGGGATCATGAATAGAACATACCGATGTAATGAGATTCTCCGTAATCATTCCATGTGATAATCTGTACCCATTCTGGTTGAGGGTCAATAGACAAAATTTCTTGCCAACGACTATTTGAAAGTTATGTTAGCTATTGGACAGGGCTGATGGTGTAGCGAGATATCTTACTCGAACCATAAATCATCCCTACGCCACAACCAATTCTTGTCATAATTTGGCAAGTTTGTGTAGAACCACTAGAGAGTCCCGACGTTAGTGAATGATAAAAGCTAGTTAATCATGATGATAGTGATCAGAAGGGTCATACTGACAGGTGAAACAGGCATCATATATGGCATTGGAACGCCTGTCTGGTTCAAAGACACGAAATAAGAAGCATCAGTATATGCATTCATATCCTCGTTACCCCAAGGCCATCTAATCAAAGTCAGCAACAAGTTGAATATTACCAAAGGTGTGAATATACGCATTCCAACTGAACAATCCATCCGCAGTTCCACGGGCAACTGCCGCCTGTGCTCCCAATGAGGACCAGTTTGGTACTAGGAAGCAGCCAGTTTGTGCTTTGATTGTAGTCCAATCGGCAGTATTATCAACTCCTTCGAAAGTTGATACGAATGGCTTCTCGAGATATTTGTAATAAGCAGAGCTTGATTTATAAGTATTGAGAAGGCTAATA